TCCAAGGCCAGGCTGGACAGGGCTTTGAGCAACCCGGTCTAGAGAAAGGTGTCCCTGCCTGTGGCCAGGTGTTGGAACTAGATGATTTTTAAGGTCTCCACCAATCAAAAACATTCTATAATTATCATTAATATTGTTATAATAATCCTAATAATTATTTGGACTCAGAGTTGTCTGAGTTTGGGCTGAGAAAAGTCTGTTTTAGCTAACCGCTTTCCAGAAGGCAAACTTACAGAACTTTTATCATAACTCTTCAGATGGAGTCTCATGAGGGAACAGGGTTTTCTCTTTTTTTTCCCCTTTTCTTATTTCTGAGCTCTTAACTAATTAGGATGAAACTACATTGTCACACAAGAAATTAATTGAATTCTGCCAGTTCTGCTTAAACTCTTTGAAGCATTCTTACCTACATAAGCTCTTTGCTAATGCGAGCTGAATTTTGCAGCTCTCAAGGGCCAATTTTTCCACAAAAGTAAATGGTATTCATGCACAGGGAGGCCTCAATGCAATGCCCTCTATTGCGAGTTCTAATAAAAGGCTGCTCTGTTTTGGCTCCTTATTGGAATAACACTATAAATAACCTCTTTGTAACAAGGACTTTTTTTTTAAATGGGAAAAGTTTTCCTCCAGACCCTCCTGGTGCACATTGTGCCACCATCTGGCAGATCTGGCTTTCAGGGTAACTGCACCTCCCAGCACTGCATTCACGCTGGGGAAGCAAAGAGTGCCAAACAGGTAAAAAAAACACAATCTTGGAAGGAAAGGCATAAGCTGCCTGATGTAAAGCAACACAAAAATAAAAGCTGCACAGTGTAAGTATACTTTGGGAAGTGTCCATAGTGCTTACTGAAGCAAAAAGTCATGCTGATTTACTGTCTAAGACTGCTGGACTTAGGCTTTAGATTGGTGCATGTTACGCTTGTGGAAAAGAGCTTGGAGACATCTCTTATTTTCCTACATTAGATTAATTTTATAGAAAGAGTACTGTTCTGAGCAGTATTGGCAGCAGAGGCATGATTGCCCTTGGAGCAAGACCAGATACACAGCTCAATGGCAGCAGAAAGGCTTGCGAGTGCTGAGAAAGAGAAGACCTAATGATTTAATGCACTTTTTATTTGGATGGTAACATATTTAGAGTTTATATTTTCTTGCCTGTCTCCAGAAGACCCAAAGCAGTACCATGCCTCCAAAAAGCTCACTCATCTTTGTTGTGAGTAGCTTTCATCTTTTTCCTCCATAGTGTTTTTTTTCTTAGTTTTTACTTTTCTCACATGAGATATCCTTAATGATTTGGCATTTGACATTTTTTCCTTTGTCAATCAGTTTTGTACATAGCGTAAAAGCTCTGCTTGCAAGAAATTCCTAGCATATTTTCTCCCATATCTTAGTCTAAGTAACTAACACAGGAAGCATGTTTCCGTAGAGTCACAGGTAGTTAATTACAGCATGGAATGAAAGACAATTAATGAAATCAGGGCGATTTCTGAATTTCTACGATTTTTATTATTGTTTAATAAATGGAAGCCCAAGATAAATTGCTGGTAGATACATTTACCACATTGAACAAGATTGTGGTAAGGGTTTGAGAAAACTGTGTATGAATTACAAATTCTGGTTCAGGTTACTGCAGAATTATTGTAAGAAAACTGCTGTCTCAGGAGTCATTTTGTTACTTGGCACTAGTGGATATGAACTGATTTTTTAAATACTTATTGATGTGATGGAAATAACCAGGGGCACTAAACTTTAAGGTACTGTTCTTGAGGTGTGGACATTCTGAAGAAGTAGCTGGGAAGAGGGAGGGTGGTATGAACTTCACCAGCTTCAGCTTTTTGGGGTGACCTGGGAACAGCAGTAACTTACGAAAAGCTGAGCAAGGAAGTTGAGCCTCTTTTAAGAGGTGAAATCCCACTAAATCATGCACAGAAGCAGAAAAGCAACTGGATTAGGCAGGATCTAGCCTAACTGGCCATAGCAGGAGGGGACTGTAAGGAATGTGTTTGACATGGGTGGTCCCAAAGGAGGAATAGGCACAAAAGACATTGTATGGGGGGTTTATGTAGCGTAGCGGTCTGCCAACATCACTGGCCATTCCCACTTCTTTCTTCATTGGTCAGGCCATGCTTTTATACGACTAGTGAGGTTTTACCCTTTCCCCAAAGGTACAGAAGCTGCAGCCACTCCTGAATAATGCAACCAGAGACTCTGAGACATCATTTTCTCCTTAATGTTATGTAAACTATGGCTTATTCCCAAAGCTTTAATTTCTAGTTCAGATGCCCTGAAAAGAATATGCCTCCAGGGAAAAGGTGTACTTTGAGAGACAGAGCCAAGATAAAAGGCAGGATAAGCCTCAAGGGATGACTGGGGATAATCCCAGTCTCCAGCTCTGGGAAAACACCTCTAGACAGACTGCTAGCACCAGAGAACTGCCCAATCTAGGGCAATTGATCATGCAAGGAATTTGACTGCTAGACACCCCTGAGGCAGCAGATGATGGTGCAACAATCAATAGAAATGACTTCATCTCTAATTCACCCAAATCAAGAGGACTCTTGAGAGAAGGACTTTCCATAAGAGCCAGTAGTGATAGGACAAGGGGTAATAGTAAATCTACCCTGACCCTGAAAGAGGGTAGATTTAGATTAGATATTAGGAAGAAATTATTTACTGTGAGGGTGATGAGGCACTGAACACTCTGAGGTTGGCCAGACAAGTGCCTGCCTGATGCCTGCCAGTGTTCAAGGCCATGTTGGATGCATCTTTAAGCAACGTGGTCTAGTGGAAGGTGTCCCTACCCGTGGCAGGGTGGTTGGAAATGGATTCCAAGACAGACCATTCTGTGATTCTGTGACTTCTGCTGTCAGAGTACGGTAATGCCTTCCAACCCACTGTTCACACATGGCACGCATATGTTCTGTCTAAGAAAGGCAACACCAGCACGTGCAAGCTGTGAAATCTAGCATTCAGAAAGTTTAGGTGTTTGAGGACTAAGGCTGCTCATGCAACTGCAGTTTGGACTCCTTCTGCTAAAGGTTTTTTGATGGCAGCCTTAATTATTTGATCAGATAAGGACCTTCCCTACAGAACTGCTGTGAACAGTCAGTGCTGTTAGTTGCAGTGTAGCTCTTTCTGTCTGCTGAAAATTGAAGGTACTCCTTAGTGCTCCACCAGTCTCAATGTGAGATTGAGATTGCTTCCTGTAAGCAACCCATTTTTGTGATAAGGACAATCTTCAGGCAAACACAGGAAGTTCTACTACGAAAAAAAAAAAGTGTCAGGAGCATTTTAATTTTTAAGGATTTATTAAGAGGGAGGCACAGGCAATGGGGTCAGTCTCTCAGCCATGTCAGTCTCTCATCTTAGGCTAAGAAAGTGGGGGTCTTCAGCTTGTAGAAGAGAAGGCTGTGTGGAGACCTCATAGCAGCCTTCAAGTATCTGAAGGGGGGGGGGGTATACGGATGCTGGGGTTGGACTATTCATTAGAGACTGTAGTGATAGGACAAGGGGTAACGGGTTAACACTTAAACATGGGAAGTTAGATTGGATATAAGAAAAAAGTTCTTTCCTGTGAGGGTGGTGAGGCACTGGAATGGGTTGCCCAAGGAAGCTTTGAATGCTCCATCCCTGGCGGTGTTCAAGGCCAGGTTGGACAGAGCCCTGGGTGACGTGGTTTAGTGTGAGGTGTCCCTGCCATGGCAGGAGGGTTGGAACATGATGATCTTAAGGTCCTTTCCAACCCTAACTATTCTATGATTCTATGTCTTCACTTTAGAAAACCAGCACGGCTCCACTGTAAATCATAGTTACCTTAGCTGTCAGATTTAAACCGATAGGTGTCATGTACAGGTACAAACAACTCACGATAAATATCCTAAGTGTCTACCATGACTGCAAAACACTGCCTGTATCACAGTGTGCTAGAGGCTTTTTCCAGGGAGGAAAACCAGCATGCAGCTGACAGCTGTTCCCTTGCTGAGCAAATGCTTCTTCACAGGCACTGCCACCCTGGGCTAGCTATTTCAAAAAGAAGACAGGGGGCCTTCATCAGAGTTGATTATTGCCAGAAAGAATAAGCTGCAGCCTTATTTCCCCCTTAGCCTGATTTATAAGGCTTTTTCTATTGCCATTTGTTTGCTTGTTTTCCACTGGCCTGGCAAAGCTTGGCAAGCTCAGCGAGGTGGGAAGAAGGGGCTCATTATTTTGTACTTGAGCTTGGTGTTGCTCTCCCACCACTTTTTCCATACACTTCTATAGACTACACTGGATTTGCATGCGATCAGAATTTCTTTTGCAACTTACTTTTTACCTCTGTGTGGCTGTGTCTCTATTTGCAGGGCCAGAGAGCATGCCACACTGAAGTGTGGAGATGTGAATGAACGTACTCCACTTGATGGAGCTCAGCACACTGCAGTATAGCAAGCGACCACTCAGCCCAAGGGAATGAACTTTTCCCTAGCAGCCTAGGTTTTGGGCAGGCTCATTGCCCCACCAAAAAGTAAGTCAGTTCAGTCACTGATACAAAAAAAGAAAATATTTAAATTGAGGGTTCTTTCAATTTTCAGAATATTGCTGACTGCTGCATCTTCTCTCTCCCTCCCTCCCCCCTGATGTTTTGCTCAATTTTCTACCGGGCTCTCAGAGGAGAGATTGTAACCATGCAGAACAACATAAATAAGAAATTATAGTTGTAAGTGGAAGACAGCAATCCAAACCCAAGAAAAGAGCCATTCTGGTGAAGATGGGAGATGAAATGTCAGTTTTCCAGCATCATCCCATAGATACCACAGGACAGCAAGAACACAAACCTATCTTTAATGCCCTGCTGCAAATCCAGTGTCAATTGCAAGAGCCCAAGCAAGCTTAGGGAGCACAAAAAGGGGTTTCCTTCACTTCTGCCAGGTTTTCAGCATATCTGCATCGCTGTGGTTACATTGCATAAAATACGAAAACAAGAACGCGCCACCAGATAGCAAATGCTCACTAGCATGGGGTTTTACCTGAAACGAATGGTAAGTTGCGCTGTGCCTCCAGTCCCATCTCAGGAGTCATTAAAAATAAAGAGATGAGAGACATTCACCCAGCAATTACGGAGCAGGGTTTACCACGTCCTCTTGAAGCTCATGTTGAGACATTTTGGTGAATTGAGGCCACGGGGGTGGCTGTGGAGGGCCTGGGCAGCCCTTGGGAGATGTGCACAAGCATGGGGGAGGGCGAAGGCACCCCAGTGGCTGCTTTCTGCCAGGTGGGCTGTGAGCTGTGGTCTATGGGGGGTGAGCTATGGCGGGTGAGCTGTGGACTTTGAGCTATGGGCTGTGAACTGTGGGCTGTAGCTGTGGGCTACAGCCGTGGGCTGTGAACTGTAACCTGTGAGCTGTGGGCTATGAGCTGTGAACTGTGTTATGGGCTGTGGGCTGTGAGCTGCGTCCTCTGAGCTATGGGCTGCAGCTGTGGGCTATGGGGTGTAAGCCGTGGGCTGTGAGCTATGGGCTGTGAACTGTGGGCTACAGCCTGTGAGCTGTGACCTGTGAGCTATGGGCTGTGAGCTGTGAACTGTGGGCTGTATCTGTGGGCTGTGAGCTGTAAGGTGGTACCTGCGTGGGGCTGGGGCCGGGGGTCGCGGGAAGCCGCAAGCGGGGCAGGCCACCGCGCACCCCTTTGGCGGTGGTCCCAACGGGAGGGCTCAGTGCTGCCGCGGCTCTGCCGGGGACGGGGCTGGGGACGACCCTCACCACAGCCCCCACGCACTGCTCCCCTACCTCATCCCCAAACACCCTCCCGCTCCGTCCCCTCTCGCACCCCGCAGTCCCTCCGGCACCGCCCGCCCCCGGGGCCGGCTCCCCGCGCCGCCTCCCCCGCTCCCCTCCGCTCCTCTCCGCTCCGCCGCCGGCAGCCGCGCAGCAGCCCGCGGGCGGCCGCGCAGGAAGCGGGCTCGGCCGTCGCCTCCCCGCCGCCGTCGCCGCTGCCGCCATGGCGGTGCGGAGCCGCGGCGCTTGGCGGCGGCTATTGCTGCTGCTGCTCCTGGCCGGCTCCGCCGCCAGCCCGGCGGAGGAGGGCGGCGGGCGGCGGGAGGCGGGCGGCGGGGAGCACGGCGAGGAGGCGGCGCGGTCTCATCACGATTCCTCGTACGGCACCTTCGCCAGCGAGTTCTACGACCTGCGCTACCTCTCCGAAGAAGGTGCGGCGGGCGGGGGCAGGCGGCGGACGGGCGAGCCCGGCGCGGGGAGGGGAGGCTGGGCTGGGGCGAGTAGTGGTGGCGGCACGTTGTTCAGCACGAAGGCCAGCGCCCGCCGCCATCTTCCGCCCGGGCGGCCGTCAGCCCTGCCGCTCAGGCACCGGGTCCAAGAACGGCACCGGAAGGCAGACCTGGGTGTCTTACCCTACGGCCGGGTCCTCCGCAGGGCTAATGGCTCGCTCTCCTCCGGGCTGCGGCGCAGCGGCACCCCCGGGCCCGGGCATCTGTCTCACCGGGCGGGTGCTGGGCAGTTCAGGCCGGGAGGCAGAGCCGCGGGCTGCGGGGCTGTGGCAGGAGCAGGCGGCCCTGGGGGCTGGAGGCCGGGGACCCGGGGCCAGAGACCGGGGATCGGGGGCCAGGCTCTTTCCGCTTTCCGCTGTGCGGGGCCAGCCGGCAAGGTCTCGCTTTTCGAGGTGTAAACCCTCTCCTGAAAAGCTTTCCGGGCTGCTTAGCTGAGAGGAGTCCTGGGTTCTGTGGGTTCAGAATGCTGTGTGATGTCCTGAGTGACAGCAAACGCAGTAGTCGTGGGTTTTGCGGTGGGTTTCTTTTGAATTTGCAAATGGCAGTCTTAAAACTCCAGTTTTGTGGCTGGGCTGCACTGAAAACCAACTGCTCGATGCATCTGACAAAGAAGAAGTTGAGAAGGTAGGATGTCCCGTGGCTGTTCTTTCAGTGATGCTCTGCTACAGGCTGCTGCAAAGTTTTGAGAACTTAATATATTTATGCTGCATAATTTACCCAGGCCCCTGATGCAGCTCATGGAGGCTGTAATTTACAGTTTACAGCATACTTTCTGTCTCCATTGGCATTGTCAGAAATCTAGGAAAACGAATCAATGCTCCCAGATGCCTAAAACTGTAGTTTAAATGTTTGTTTGTCGATGCTGCAGCTAACCAAAGTATTTATTTTCTATTTAGTGAAACACTTTCAGAGGACTTTTTAGTTTCAGAACTAGGATTTTGGTTTTCAGTTGGCTAAGTAAAAGAACATCCCGTTAAAATACCTGTGTTCATGCAACAGACAACCTTCTGCAAGCCAAGACAGAAAAGGTCTATTTGCAAATGTTCACGCTTTCTCTTTGGTCTACTATTATACATCAGGCAGGGGATTGCTTGGAATCATAGCTCTGATTGTCTGGCTTTTCTGGGTCTTCCTTCACAAGCAATGGCAGACAATTCCCAGTTTTGATACTTCTTTACCTTTTATTGCAGTGTGTGTTTGATTTTACTTCCTAGTGTAAGATGTGTTGTAAGATCTTTTCTGTATCCATTCCTACAGCTCTGATTCTGGTCCCTTGCATTTATACTTAATACTGTCATTTTATGGCTAAGGCCTCAGATTGAGTGGCTTATGGATTTCCTAGGGGGACTTAATGATCTTGGTGATCTTAAAGGTCTGCTTTTGGTTGGACTTGGGGATATTAAAGGTCTTTTACAACCTAGTTGATTCTATGATTCAATGACTAAGAGCAGAGTGGAGATCCCTCATTGTTAATTGACTGCACTACTCTGATTCTGCTTCCTTGAGTTAACTTTTACCTTCAGTATAGCAAAGCCATGCTGTAGCATCCTTGTTCCTTCTTGATGAATGTAGGAAATCTGAGAAAAAATTTTGTTTTCAGTTATCGGTGTTGCTTTGCTACCTGGATCCAGGCCCATCTGGGCTAAGGACTGTGCATGTGACAAAATGGTCCCATATCTGAACAGTTCAGTGTTCAGCAGACAAAGTAAATGCTGTTGAAAGCCTTTCTCTTTAGTGTTATTACTTTTTGTTCCTTCCATTTTATTTAGCAATGATTTATTCTGATTATGCAGGCTACCCTTTCCCTACTGCTCCTCCTGTGGATCCATTTGCAAAGATCAGAGTAGATGACTGTGGAAAAACCAAGGGATGCTTCAGGTCAGTCTGAGATTCGATGATCAGAGTGCAGATACCTTTATGTGTGCAAATGATGACCAATTGCATTGGAGACTGGTAAATGTTCCATCTTAATTTTAATAAATGTTTATTACCTAAGAACATACTTTGTAGAAATAGACAATATTATTTGAGGAAACTCTATTATTTAAGGATATACATCATACTTGTGGACCTACAGCTATTTCATGTTTCTTGTGTTTTCATGAAGCACTTACAAAACTGGGGCTAGGAAGGTCAACAGGATAATAGAACCTGTAACTAATGGCTTGCCATGCTGTTTAAATACTATACAGTCTTACACTAAAGGAGTAAAAATTGCAAACAGTTGATGGTACTCTGTGTTTAGCATAATATAACATGTTTTATTGCCATTATACCAAAATGCATTCTTCTATTTTATTACACAAGTGTAATTAAATTCCATAGCAGAAAATTGTAAGGAAAAGTGACATGTATTTCCAATTCTGTTTAGGTATGGTAAACCTGGATGCAATGCGGAGACTTGTGACTACTTTCTAAGTTACCGTAGAATAGGAGCTGATGTTGAATTTGAGTTGAGTGCTGATACTGATGGCTGGGTGGCGGTGGGATTTTCTTCAGACAAGAAAATGGTAAGACATGTACAGTTCTTGCTGTTGACAGTGTGCATGCTTTTATTTGCTAGGCTATAAATGGTTTATATTTGATCTGTTAGAGCATATAAAGAAAAACAGACTTACTGAAAACAAGGCACTGTTTGGTAACCACCCTGGGAGCAGAAGCCAGGCTTACTGCTTCCCAGAAAATTGCTGCATCCTTCCTAAAATGTCCTTTCCCTTCTTCTGTGAGAAGTACAACATTCAGTAGTGCTGTTCAGTATCAGTTCAGCTCTGGATGTCTGAATGTTACTTGATTTTTACCTTTTTATTAGAGAAGTCCCCAGGGATAAGCCATTTCATGTGGAAATATCCTGTCCTGCTTTATATCAGCATTACTTGGACAAAAGGCACATCAGAAACTAAATAGCAAATAATTTTATTCTTCAGTAAATCAGCTGACTTTCAGTGGTATAAATGTGACTTTTGCTGTTAAGCTCTGGAAATAGTTTTGTTTCTTTGTTTCTTTTTGTTTCTTTTGTTTACCTGTGTGTTGTTCCAGGGAAGCTACCAATGTGTCACAAAATGATTCCTGCTAATTTAAACATAGGTACTCTAGAAAACAGTCTTGTTAAAATCTCTTCTGTCTCTCTTGAATTTTATGTGGTTTGGTTTTATGCTTATTCCTGTACTTACTTTGTCATTCAAAAACTTCACTTTTCATTGTGTTTCAGTAAGCAAAACAGGAGCTTGTACTGTCTGAAGTTTAACAACATGAGCAATAGACAACTTAGGCAAAGATGTTTTGTCTATGATCCTTGGTAAAATATTTAGGATTAAAATGCAGCTCACAATGTAGGTGCTCGTACACAGAAACACTACTGAGTATATAAAACAATATTGAGTCTATGTCCTAAGTCACAAGTCAGAGGACAGCACTGTTTCTTGCACAGTTGTAAGCAGTAGTCAGAAAAACACTCTGAGGGCAGGTGCTTTTCGGTCCTTACAATATATGTTTTATTGTGAGACTGTAAATAAGCAAAATAAAGGTAGAAGTCTAATGTGTCATGAAGAACGATTCATCACAAGAAGCAGTTCGTGTTTTTAATGTCGTGAGGAACAGTTTTACAACCAAATTTTGGGAGGATTTCAGATGCCTGGAAATGCAAGTACTCACCAGGGTTTTCAAAGCAGCTCAACACCTTTAAGTAATTTTCCCCATGGCATCAGAGATCGTGTAACAGGTTTGTAACTGATACACCTGCAGCAGATCCAGGGTCTCACTGCCTGCATCTCACCAGCCACTTGGAAAGCAGGTATTTCCTTTTGTCCCAGACACAGCAACCAGCATGTTAGGTCTCAGCTTCTGGTAAGAAGAATAAAGTAAGTGTAAAGTAAAAGGTTTTGCTTCCAAATTTGCTGCCTGTGTGCTCTAATGCCCACCAGTCAGCTGGACTAAAACAACCAGCATCTCTCTTCCTGTCTTTTCCCCCTGCTGACTTCTTCCTTTTTCATAACTTCCAGGATGTTTTGGTGTCCTTGGATGTGCAGGTTTTAATGGTAAAATGACACTGGGTCAAACCAGCTGAGCTGTGGGAAGTGGGCTGTGCTTTGGAGGCCCTGATCAAAATGGTGTGGCCTGGATAGCTATAGGAATTTAGGAAAAAAAACTATTTTGTGTCCTTAATAGATTTTTTTAAAGGTCTGTGACCTATTTCTTTGTCTCAGATAACGTTATGCTTTTCCACTTGCAGGCTTTTGTGCCCAGGCAGGATTTTGTAATGTCATTCTGTTAGCTGAGATTCAGAATACTTTTTTCTTTCCTTTTAGAAAAAACCTTTCCTTGTTTTTTCCTATTGAAAACAGATTTATTTTTTCCTCTTTGTACTTAGGAATGAGGGATTTGTGCTCAGATGTATAAAGCTTAAACTCGGAGAAAGTTATGGAGGGTAAGGATAGGCTTCAGACAGAAGATAGGAAGATTGAGGTGCAGAAATTGTTTTGAGCATGTGTTTTACCTAGTTGTCCCCTTTTTCTTTCACTTTTGGCACATCTTTCACAAATCCACATAGAAATATTCCCAAATTGATGAAATACACCCTTTTCCTGTCCTTTCCTGATACAAAAGAGCTGAGAGATGATCACACTAGCAAGCATCATACCTATCATCAACATGACACATTAGAAAGATCAGTATTGGAGAAGTAGGGCCTGTATTTAATATGGGACTGATACCTGGATAGTAAGGGTAAGTAAATATTACTATTTACTTTGCGTCTTTCAATCTGACCAAAGACCCATGGTTAAGGAAACAAGTATTTGTGTAATATAACTTAGAGGGAATGAGAGCCCCAGATCTTGACAAGTTTTAAATAATTAAAATTATGTACGTATATGAAGAAATGCTTTGTGACACTTCTGTTTTCCTTCTACCAATGTGTACTATGTAGGGAGGAGACGATGTCATGGCTTGCGTTCATGATGATAATGGAAGAGTCCGAATACAGCACTTCTATAATGTTGGTCAGTGGGCTAAAGAAATCCAGAGGAATCCTGCTAGAGATGAAGAAGGGGTTTTTGAAAACAATCGTGTGACATGTCGATTCAAGCGTCCAGTGTATGTTCCCCGAGAGGAAACCATTGTAGATCTTCACTTGAGTTGGTACTATCTGTTTGCTTGGGGTCCAGCAATTCAAGGTAAGTTGATTTCTGTGTTACTGGCAGCACTGAGGTGCCAAAACTGATAAATGTCTTTTAGTTACATTATTCTTACTAGATACCCTTTTTGTTAATGAACTAAAATTCTGGCACCATGAAGCTTGAAAATAGATAAAAAGGAAGACAAGGTAAATAACAGAGTCTTACATGTCATGTTTTCTTGACTATATAGTTATTATGCCCACTCCCCAAAGCTAAATTTAGAAGAACTTCATAACTAGAAATTTGGAATTCCTTTGAATGATATTTATAATTTACTTGAATTTCATTTGTTTTATTCAGATGTTTAATTCCTGAAAACATATAAATGACCCTGCTTACTGTAATATTGCATGCTTTGGGTTCGAAAATTACTTGGCTGTCTACCTGTTTCTTTGGTAGAGTTATAGAAAAAATGCACCTGATGTTATTTCTTTTTGCCCTTACCTGTTAAAGGTTCTATAACCCGTCATGATATAGACTCACCACCTGTATCAGAGCACGTTGTCAGTATTTACAAGTATGAAGATATTTTCATGCCATCAGCTGCCTATCAGACCTTCTCTTCTCCATTCTGCTTGCTCCTCATTGTTGCACTGACCTTTTATTTATTGATGGGAACTCCATGACTATGGAAAACAACAAGAATTTGTCAGTGGAAAATCCTCAGGATGGACGGCTATATGGATGGACAATGCATTTTTCTATTGGAATTTATATCACACCACCACCCTCATCTAGCTGCTTTTGAACATAGTTAGCTTCTCAGAAGAATGAAATAACCATCTCGTTTGAGTGGCAAAGTGGTGACAAATCATTTAACAATAATCAGTGAACACATAGGAGAATATTTTCAGTGTTGTGACTACTTGCTTAAAGAAAAGGAGACTTGTAAAATCAACGTGCGTGTGTGTATGTGTGCTTGGGAGGCGTGTCTGTATGCGTGTTTAGGAGAATTTAGTGATGGACATCTTATCACATAACAAAATTGCCTTCCAAATTGCTCCCAAAAGCGAATTTGGGAAAACATTCTAATGCTGTTTGGTACTTCTGGAGCAGACAGCACAACTCCAAATGCTTTTTCTGAACTTGAGATCTGGATACTGACACAGCAGCATAAAACATGCCCTTCAATAATGGACAGTTCTCCCAGGTGTTTTTTTATATCTGTCAAGGTTCATGTGACCTGGTACTTTACAAAACTAAATTTGCATAATCAAGCATTAACATGATTTTTTTCAATGGAAAAAAGGTGACAAATGTCTTGCTTTATTATGATAGTGTTTAAACAGCCTTCTTGAAAGAAATGGATACTTCTTTTCTGAGTGATATAAAGTTATTTAAACAAGGGGAAGGGAGAATACAGTAATGAAAATTTTCCATACATAGGTGAACCACATGTAAAACATACAGAATATAGAAGATCCCGACAAGCTACAGATTAAATCTCAATAGATTAAATCAATTTTTCTCTTTTTATGAAAAAAACCCAAACAAAACCAAACAGTGATTTTGCTGACATGTAAATATATTTTTAAGCAGTCATGTAATAGTATGAAGAAATCTGTTTTTCTGTGTTGTATGCCTGTATATCCTGTTCATGTTAAGGTTGAATATGAGCAGCTGATGTTAACTTACATAGAAATGGAAATACAATTGTGATTATTTGTAAGGAAATATAGGGATTAATAAGAAGAGCAGTAGCTTTAGTTTCACCAAACCATTGCTAAGAAGTAGTTACTATGAAAAAAAGGTGAGGTAAAGAGGAAATACATTAGACTTTTTTATCACTAATAAGTATTACAAAGATGAATGCTAAATATTACAAAGATGAATGCTAAATGTAATTATGAGCCACAGAATATTATGAAAAACTTTAAGTTCTTGTGGAGAGTTTCTGTTTTTCACCTAATAGGAAGTGTATGACACATCTACATGTAGCAGTCAAATATGTTTAGATAAAGTTGTTAATTCACTTCTCAACTTGCATTAAATTCTATTTAAATAGAATTAAAATTTAAATTGTGCCAAAGTTCTAATGAATGTGGTACGCCCGAGGACTCTGCAACATAGGATCTGGTACAGTATGTGATGGACCACCTTTCTATTATCATTGCTGCATACAGTGTAAAAAAATTAAATAGCTTTGCTGGGTTTGCATCATTATTCAAAGACTGAAGTTTGTAGACTAACATTTTTTTAGACTCAGCATTCTTCAAACCTATGCTTACAGTATATGAATTCAATTGAAAATGAATTTATCTCCATCACAAACACTTTATTCCACTTTCAAAAGAAAGATTGCCTAGCAATAACTACTTACATTGATGTCTTTAAGGATTTGTTCATTTAAAATTACTGGACTAGAGTTCAGGAGAGGGAAGAAAAATTCAGAATTAAGTGAATTTTACAAGTATATGTAATAGCTTTATTTAGTATAAATTACTTCTCTCAAGTAGGATAACATGCTTACCATCTGATGAAATCCGTAGCAGAGACAACTTAATAAGGAAGGTCTACTTTGGTCCATGATGGCTGTAAACATTAGCCTTAAGACTGGCTGAAGCAGATAGCTGAAGCCTGGATAAAGAGTTTTATATTCAGCAACCAGATGAAATGAAGAAATCACTAGGGCAAATTCTTTCTTCTTTGTGCTAATCTGTAGACAGCTGAGATAACTGTGATCTCTGAGAATGAACTGAACTATTTAAAGTAGCCTCAGGGTTTCTTTAGTTTATGGCCTTGTATTTACTATTTTAGTGTCAGGCATTTACCTGATTACCCACTAAAGGGCTAATGTAATAATTGTAAGGTACTGAAATGGGATAGAAACCCATTTTGGATCCTCTTTTCTTTAATACAGTGATGGATTTAGGATAACCTGATTGGACCTGGGTGCAGAGGTACATTAATGATGACAATGCTAACAGCAAGATACATGTGCAACACCCATAGAACTGCTTTCCGCTTACATGGAGTCAGACATGGTTAAAGTTCAGGCTCTAAATCAACAGTGAATTCAGAGTAGAGACAGAGCTGCTTAAGGATATATCTGCTGGAATGTAAAAACTATACTGTCTTCAGCTGTACCAGTGTTCTAAAGTAGAGCAGAAAATACATTTGCTTGTTTGGGTTTTTTTCCTTTTTCAGTTTACTTGTCAGTGTCTGTCTGGTGGTTTTGTCATCATAGTTTTCTGTTGAAGTATTACGAAAAATGTGCATTTCTCTAAAAACTTTCACCCAAGCTTTGAAGTACTTAATTAGCACCAATTAAGTATTTATAATCAAATGGGTGGAAATAAAAGGCCACAACAAGCAGCAAAACACTCTATTTGGCATTTCAGCTGATGGTTGAGTTTAGCACTGAGTTTCTGAGAGTTGATCTTCCGAGTAGGAAAAGCAGGAATATGATATTCAAGTTGATAAATGAAGAAGGTACAAGTGTTTAGAAATTTCTAGTTCAGAAAAAGTATGAAGAGAAAAAGGCATACAAGAAATGAAAAGGTTTTAACTCAGTAGTATTTAATTTTGTATGATATTTGTTAAGTCTTGAGTGGGCATAGTAACATCACGGAAGGTATTTTGGTTTTCATATGTTTGGGTGGATTTTTTTCTTTTCAGTATTGAAACCCAGGATTTGTCTTTGTTATAGAAAGCTACTACAAAATAACTTCCCTAAAAGCAATTTTGCAGTGATTATTACATTCCAAATAATTTTTTGGTTTTTTTTTTTTTCTAATTAACAGTGACCAATATAAAAAAGAGGGAAAGGCCACTTCTCGAAAAGGAGGCAGACGTTTCCTTCTCCAAATGAAATAGGTTTTAGGTTTTTTATGTGACTACTAGCAAGCAGCGGTTAAGGGCTTTAGCAATATGTTCTTTTTATTTTGAGAATTACTTGCTGCAGGGTGACCTAATACAGAAGCATAGAGTTTTGAAAGTGCATATTTAGAGTATGGTGTCCTTTTGAAACTCAACTTTGATTATTAATAAGAAAGACAATACTGGCGAAGACCACAAGATATTAATTAACATCCTCTAATAGGTTCTTTCCATGCACAGCTAAATCCAGTTGTGACCATCGCTTGTTACATTAACTATATTATCACCCTCTGCTCGCTCTGTCCATCTTGTCTAGAATGTTTTATACTTAAAATCTGTACATTACTTGGAGGTGAAATCAGGTGCTTATATTTGTGACAGTGACTACTGCATAGGGACCTTGTATTTTGACTGTAGTGTCTAACTGGTACTCTGCTACAAATACTAAGCTAGGCCTGAAATTACATTGATAAATAGGATAGGAAAGAAAGAATAATAAGTGGAGAGGTCAGGCTTTCAGAAAGTACTTTTTTTCTTTGCTGCAATTAAATAACTGTGTGCAATTTTATGTATAGGTGAGATACTCCTAGACACTGTTTGATCCCCTGCTTTTTTCCTTTTGCCCTCCCCCACAAATAATACAAAAAAAAAGCCTGATAATAGTTTTATTTGATTTTATAGCTGATTTGATAATGTCATTGGATACAGGGTGATGCTTGCTTCAAAGTTCCATTGCTGTAAAGGGAGTGCTCTAGTTTTGAAAGGGAACATATTGAGATGAGAAAAGTTTGAAATCTCTATGTGGCCTTTTTGTCCTTTCTGATTAGCTTTTCAATACTTGGGTAGAAAGAAAATAAACACTTGTGGCCTCCCTAATCTGAGGAAACATGCAGATTGGGATAAAAGTTTTCAAAGCTGTGTTTGGCACTGAGTCTTCCAGTCTTCAGCACAGCGATTAGAGAATAACTGGAGCATGGTCTACCTCAGTAAGCCCTCCAGACAGTGGACTTGAAGCTTGCCTGGGGCACCGTATTGGGTCTGAACCAAGAAGAGCTAGTTGGAACTAAATGATCTTTAAGGCCTCTTCCAACTCAACCCGTTCTATGATTCTTTTGCCAAACTGTGGATGGTGTTCTTATTGAGTGAGTACCATGCTCCTTGTCAGTAACTTGTGTCCCGTCCCTGTTTCTGCTTATGCCTTCTGTTACTTAATGAGGTAATAGTGAAAAGTCTTAGCCCAGCTGTGAAGAGGAGTTATTGGGTAAAGAAGGCTGACACACAGCTGTCTTGATGATTATCCAGGTCACAGTTAGAAATTTGTGTTGATGATACTCCAGTTGTCTGTAAGTAAATGACTGCTATAAATCTAAAGGAACACAAGCCTCCCTACTTTTTTTTTGCTGTCTTCTCCTTACTTTGTAATCCCTCCAATACATCAGACATTTACAAAGAAACAAGTTACTCTCCTTTTAGACAGTAGACCCTCTGTCTTGTCTTTCTGATCTCTTCTGTGTTCACTGGAAGTTTGCATGTGCCATACTCTAGAGGAAGAACTAAAATCTATGTGCCAACTTCATAACTTTAATTAGCATTTAAATTGCACTTTGTAATTCTACTTTTGCTGTTTCACCACAGTGATGTGTAGCAACTTTAACATTTCCAAACAGTTTTCCCAAGGAAAAGTATTGGGTAATACCTTTAGGAAAAGGAAATGTGTATTTTGCAGAATTATGAAAGTTCTAATAACACTTATTTTCAGAGATCTCTACTGTGAAAGTGCCAGTGTTTTATACAAAGTATAACTTTGTATAGACCCTTAAATTTATGATAGAAGTGGAAACACATTTAAATACTATAGTTGTTTCAGAGCTTCATGAAGCTGTGCATAAGTTTGCATGAATTGACATCCTGTTTCAAACCTAGCTCCACAGTGTGTAAGGAGTGGGCAAAGCAGGCTGAGTGCTACAAAGACAGGTAGCATTATTCGGTGACCTCAAATAATATGAGACAGAAGAGTGGAGAGACTGATAGTAAGGGTGAACAACAAGGAAGGGCTAATGGTTTGGGCACACTTCCTATTTTTGCATGAGTTTACATGTGGCAGAGCACATCTGGCACTCTTAATCATAAGCAAATATTATTTTATGTCAATAGAAGGAACAGTCTGTCTTTAATGAGAATTAAGCTGTTATGCAGGTCCTAGCTGTGTCAGGGCTGGTGTAGGCACGAGGTAAAACTATGATGCAAGATGGCTCCTATCAAACTCCAAGGTAAGAGCTAGAGGCTTGATCTTGCCTCCAGAGGTAAAAAAAACCTGCCCAGAACCCATAGGCAGTAGTGGCAGTCAGGTGCTGTGGAAAGTACCTGCTCACTGGCTATTTTACACACTTCTCACAGCAGTCTGAGTATCAAAAGATGGGAGCTATAAATCTTTTTCTTAACAGCTGTTGTTGTTCAGTATCTATCTTCTCTAGTTAAATTTTCATTATTGCTATTTCTGTAGCAGTGTGTTAGGATCTAGTACAGCACTCCCACAACCTGCCCAGCACAGACATGGATCAAACTGGAAGGTTTTAGAGAAGATCTCAATTTCCTGAGTAAAAAAATTAATTAAAAAATACATATTTTTTTTAACCATATGTCAACTTTTCACTTTTTTTTTTTAATTTTAGTTTTTCTGTAGCTATTTCTGTGGAATTTATATGTCAAAGTATCTGATTTTTTGCAGATAGAGAGTAAATTCTAGCTAAACCTTCCTTTTCTAAACCTATCTTATTAGTATGAAATAATCACTTTGGTATTTTTCATTTTATTCCTTTGATTTTTACAATAGGTTTGGTAAAATTATGTATGCTTGAACTTGGTTATTTAACTTATCTAATCTGGGCTCAGATAGTGAGGCAAAACCAGTGCAATTTTGAAATGTCAGGGAGGATGTGTGCAGCTTGTGGAGTTGATAGGTGTGAAAAAGCAGACTTAAAAGACATTACTTGCTTTGAAAATCTGTGACTTGACTTGGCAATAGCAACGAATCTGCTGTAAGGAAAGGGACAGATTTTTTTTCCTCTTGGATTGCCAAATAGTTTGAATTGCACTTACAGATTATCTCAGGCTTGAAGGGACCCATAACAATCATTGAGTCCCACTCCCTGCTCCATGCAGTACTGCCTAAAACTAACCCATATGATTAAGAGCATCATTGACACTCCT